AGAAGTGTGGATCAGTCTTACCCATCTTCCGGTTGAATTACAACCTCATCAGAATCAACACATAATTTTTTTTCCAAACTTATTTTAAAATTAAAAAGAAAAACAGAATTTAAACTAAAAAGGAATGAATAAGGAAAATGGGTGATAGAAATTATATATATATATATATATAATAATAATTGTTTTGCACAAAATGCTTTGGGTGTGTTTTATTTTTCAGGTTTGACTCTCGTAGTGGAAAATTAATCAGTTTGTTTGGTTTTAGTGTTTAGAAATTTCTATTTGTTTTCAATTTTTTATAATTTTTTTGGTTTTTAATGATTTTTTTAATATTTTAAGCATTTTTTTTTATTTTTAGACACACTTAATATAAATACACTTAAAAAGTATAATATTTGTGAATTTTTTTAAAAAAATTTACTAAATACCAAAAATACAAAAAAAAAAAACAAAAATTTAATACATTTTTTTTTATATTTTGTGTATTTATTATTATTTTTAAATATTTATATGCATCAAAATAAGGTGCATCTAAAAAAAATTAAAAAAATTGTTTAAAATTTTAAGAAATTCACTAAAAACAAAAAACATATGAAAAATAAAAAATTCAATTTTCAAAAAACTGAATCTAGAAAACTAAAACTAAACACACTTAATTTTATTTTATTTATTTTTTGTCTTGATGGTTCAAGGCCCAACATGATCACAAGTTGAATTGTGTAGGTTCCGTTTAATTAGAAAAAAAAATGTATATATATATTTCTCGGATGAATTTGATTAAAATAAAAATTTTGTAAGAAAATTGAAATCTATATATTATATAAGTAAAATGGAGTTTCTAACCACAAGTCTTGTGGGAGCTTCAATATCTCAAACTAAAATTTTTAATTTTTTTTCATTTTAAATAATAATAAAAAATCCTTTATAACTCTCTAAACTCTAATTAAAAAAAAAAAAAAAAAAAAAAAAAATCTCTTGATTTATGACTTTCAAATAGAAAGTATGTCAAATATATAAAAAAAAAAAATAGAAAGTATACTAATCCATTTCAAAATTCAATTTTGAAAGGCACTAAATATGGAAAGTAATTTATTAATTTAAATTTAAAATTATAATGATTCGTTCCATAATTTATAAATTTTAAATAATGATATATTATATGATTTATATATATATACTATTACAATTGCAAAACGTTGTCATTTTGCAATTATTTTTTCTTATTTTTTCTTATTTTGTTTAATTTTTGTTAATACGTGTTACAATATGATTGGTCTATAAATTAATTTTATATTCTTAAAATAAAATTTCAAATTTAGATTCTTACTTAAATTATGTTACTATAATTTGAATGGGATCAATATTCATTCTTTAAATTTTGCATCCTTTATTAAATTATAAATTAAAATTTCAAATCTAAATTCTTCTCCAAATTATATTACAACAATTAGAATGAAATCAATATTCATATGTGTCTGTGTCATAATATTATTGGTCTAAATATAATTTGTTTTAAATACATGTGTTTAAATTATTAATCACTATTAATTTAATTTTTTTCAGTTTTTGTTTTAAATTTTATAAAATTTTTTTTATATAATTCTAAACTATAAGGTCTTGAACAATAATTAGCTTGTTTGGTTTTGGTTTTCATAAAACACTTTTCATAAAATTCTACTTTTTTCTTTTCCTTATTTTTATGTTTTTAATGAAGTTTTTAATATTTTGTGTAATTTTTATTTTTATTTTTAGACACACCTAACATAAATATATCTAAAAAGTATAATATTTGTAAATTTTAAAAAAAAAATTCACTAAATACCAAAAATATAAAAAACAAACAAACAAACAAACAAAAGTTTAGTACATTTTTCGTATTTTTGTATATTTATTAAATTTTTAAAATATTTTTTCACAAATATTTTATTATTTAGATACATCTAAGTAAGATGCATCTAAAAAAGTTTTAAAAAAAAAAGCTTAAAATTTTAAAAATATTCATTAAAAAATAAATGAAAAAAAAAAAACTCATTTTAGAAAACTCAATTCAGAAAATTGAAACCAATCACACTTAATATTTTTTAATAATTTTTGTTTTTCACAAAAAAAAAAAAAAAAAAAAAAAAAAGAAACATAACTTTTTTAGCACTTATCATGATGGATTTTGTTCTTTTTTTTTTGTCTTAATTGTAAATTAAATAAATTAAAATAAAGAATAAAGATATCTTTGAATCAAATTGTTAAAAAGTAACTTTTGCTAAAATAAATTGGAACGAAAAGTTATTATTATTTTTTTATTAAAAGTGATAGTTCGTTAATTTTTTTTTTATTTAAAAAAAATAGGTGATAATTTATTATTCATCAAGAATTATTTTTAGATTAAATGAAAATACCATATTAAATTTTCTTCTTACCTTTTTTTTATTCAATTAATTTTATTTTGTTAGAAATTTGTTTTTATTCTAGTTAATATTTTATTGTAATTTTTAAATTAAAAATAATTTCTGAAAAATCATATTTAAATTATTCATGCCATTTTAAAAAGTAAATTTTTTTAATATCAACTAAGTGGTTGTTCAGAATGTGTTTAACAAATATATGTTTTTACTTTTTATGAAAATATGTATAGAAAAATAGAGACGTGATATGACTTAAAAAAGATAAATACGTATACTTTTTTTCTTTACAAAAAGATATGTACAAAAGTATAGATGTGATGTAATTCAAAAAAAAATAAAAAAGGGGAGTTATTGCATCACTTCCCAAACAATCCTTTATTCGATAATCCTTTTTAAAATGTGTATTTTTAAAATATTTTCAAGAAAAATTCTATTGAAAATTTTAAGTATATTGCTTTTTCTTTTGTTCATTAATATTAAATTTTTAATAAATTTTATTTATTATTTTAAAAAACAAATTAGCAAATAATTTTATAAGGTTACATAGATAATTTTATTTTGGTTACTCAGGTTATTTGGTATTTCTACCCAAATCTACTCAAATTTAATTTGAATTTTTGAATTTTTTCATAGGTCCTCACTTAATTAAAAACTATGTTGTTCAATCTTTAAAAAAATTTAAGCTTGACTCAAGTTGTTTGGAATAAGCTCACCTAAGTTTACAATTTTAGCAAGGGGTTGAAAGTTACATGATTAAATTTGTGACAAATTAACAAATAATAAATAAATTGTGATAAAATTATGGGACTTAAATTGTAAATTTCAATCCTTTTTTTTTCATAATTTGCATACAAAAATTTAACTATTTATATTATTTGTATAAAAATATATTATTATTTTTTTTGCATGCCGTGCATAGCACAGAGTACCACTAGTTCTAATTATAAGTGACTATTTTTATAACAAATTAAAATTTTCTTGTATTTTTTTTTAAAAACTGGAAGCTTAGTTACAATGTTATTACGAGTTGTATTAGAAAATTAATTTTCTTATAACTTCCACCAAACAAACATAGAATTTTTTATTTTTTTCTATTTTTTTTCACTTTCTAACATTTTCTTCCTCACCAAACTGAGCCGTAAAGCTAGATGATAGAAGTGAAAATGGTAAAAAGTGAAATGAAAGAAAAGAAAAAAAAAATGAAAATTTATTTTCTTGTATACATTTGAGTAGATAGAAAATTATGGGGAAAAAATTGTAATCACCTTCGGATGATATGAAGTGAAAGAAAGGAAAAAGAAATAAAAAATTATTTTCAATCATGCATTTGAATAGATAGGAAATTTTGCAAGAAAATGATAGGAAAAAATATAATCACTACATAACAGGGAGTTGTGAAGAGAAATATGGACAAAGAGGGAAAGAAAAGTAAAATTTCCTTTATATTTTGCAAGAAATCGTAAACCTAACTAACAAGTTAATTTGAATTGTACATAAAACTTTAGTTTTCATTACTTTCTAAGACTCTATCCAAATAAACACATAAATTTTTTATTTTTCTCTTTCTTTCACTTTATGTATTTTCTATCTAATCAAACTGAGACCTAACAATTTTAGACCCATTTTTAAATGGATTTGAAATAATTTCACTCCTCAAAGTAGAAGGATTTCCTAGCTATTATGTATTGATTTGAAATTCTCAAATGTGAATTCTAAAGTTGTGAAAGTCGAAGAATTTTTGAATGGATTTGAAATTGGAACACTACAAGAATTTTCACTTTTGGTGATTAAATTTTTAATCGCCAAAGGACTTTAGCGACTAAATTTTTTGGTCGCAAAATTAGTAACCGAAGAGTAGTCGGGAAAGCTAATTGGCGACTAAAATTATTTTAGTCACCAAATGTATTCATTTGCCGACTAAATATTTAGTCGCCAAAAAGTTGGACATTACATTAAATTAGACCCTTTTCGGCGACCAAACTTTTAGTCGCCTAAAGTCCCACCTTTTTAGCTACTAAAATTTTAGTCGCCAAAAAAGTTCTTTTTTGGCTATTAAAAATTTAGTCGCCGAAAATCCCCATCTTTGGCTACTAAATGTTTAGTCGGCAAAGAGTTCCTCTTTTGGCTACTAAATATTTGGTAGCTTAAAGTTACACATTTTTTGCTACTAAAATTTTAGTCGGCAAAAGTGTGTTTATAATTTAGTTTTTTGTTTTTAGCTACGAAATATTTTAGTTGCCAAATGTTTTTCTTTTGGCTACTAAAGTTTTAGTTGCCAAATGTCTATTCTTTCATTATTTTTTTTTTGGCTACAAAACTTTTAGTCGCCAAATGTCTTTTCCCAATTTCTTTTTAGCTACTAATTGTTTAGTCGCCAAAACATGATATTATGTTTTATGGCGAAATTATAATTTCTCCACGACCTGTCTATATACAATGCAACCTGTAATACGTATAAAAACAAAATGATACATACTATAAATCATTTCACAATCTGCATCCATATACCAAAAATAAATAACATTAAATATCAAAGTCCATAGAAATCAACTATTGTCCAAACTAAAATAATAATTCCATACAAAATATGTCATACAATAATCAAAGCCATCTGTATATAAAAAAATACATTTACTACCAAGCGAAATTACCATTTGGCATGGTACAAATTATCATCGTAATCTGTACCACAACAAAAGGTGATATATGTACCACGACAAAAATTTTCTATGGACCATGACAAAACGTCCTACATGTACACTGACAAATGGTATATATATATACCATGACAGAATGTGATCTATGTACCACGACAGTCATTATCTGTTGATTGCCAAAAGTTTCTGTATCAGTAATAATAAACTACACAAAAGCTGAGGACGATAAAAGTATTATATTAGTTCTACACAAAACTGAAAATTCTTCTTCATACACCAATATGGATTATCCACAAGTCCACACAACAAAGCCATCTACAAAGAAAAACAAAAAACGAAACATTAGAATTGGTTACAAAATATCAATTAAGTCAGCCATATGGAACATGTTCTAACATGCATTTAAGGTAGAACAATTGAGAAATGTCTTTTTGGAGATAAAAGAAAGTATACACATATATGTATCATGCAATATTTATTCCAACCAACTGCACAAACAATGTAATATGTAATTTCTTCGTCCTATAAATATATTAAGGCAATTATTAGAATATGTAGATATTATTTTAATAAAGTTGTTGCTTTTTAACTAAGTGTTGCAAGTTTTTTGACTAAGTGTAAGACGTATTCGAGGGCTGTTTTGATTTTTCGCCCCCGAAACGCCCTTTTTCGACCAAGTTAAGGGCGTATTCGGCTCTAACTCCCAGCCTACGGGTCCGAATTGCGTTCCGTCAATTCTCACAAGTCCTATTTGTCATGGGGAAACTGTCCGTGTGAGCAACACGGTGGTTCGGGGGCTGTTTTAATTTTTCGCCCTCGAAACGTCCTTTTTCAACTAAGTTTAGGGCGTCTTCGGCTGTAACTCCCAACCTACCGGTTCGAATTACGTTCTGTCAGTTCTCACAAGTCCTATTTGTCATGAGGGAACTGACCGTGTGATCCATACGGTGGTTCAGGGGCTGTTTTGATTTTTCGCCCCCGAAACGCCCTTTTTTGACTAAGTTTAGGGCGTATTCGGTTCTAACTCCCAACCTACGGGTCCAAATTACGTTCCGTTAGTTCTCACAAGTCCTATTTGTCATGGTAGAACTATCCGTGTGAGCCACACGGTGGTTCGGGGGCTGTTTTGATTTTTCGACCCTGAAACGCCTTTTTTCGACTAAGTTTAGGGCGTATTCGGCTCTAACTCCCAACCTACGGGTCCGAATTACGTTCCGTTAGTTCTCACAAGTCCTATTTGTTATGGAGGAACTGTCCATATGAACAACACGGTGGTTCGGGAGCTGTTTTGATTTTTTGCCCTCAAAACGCCATTTTCCGACTAAGTTTAGGGCATATTCGGCTCTAACTCCCAACTTACGGGTCTGAATTGCAGTCCGTTAGTTCTCACAAGTCCTATTTATCATAGGGGAACTATACGTGTGAGCAACATAATGGTTCGGGGGCTGTTTTGATTTTTCGCCCTTAAAACGCCCTTTTTTGACTAAGTTTACTACGGGTCCGAATTACGTTCCATCAGTTCTCACAAGTCTTATTTGTCACGAGAGAATTGACTGTGTGAGCCACACAGTGGTTCGGGGCCTGTTTTGAATTTTCGCCCCTGAAACACCCTTTTTCGCTAAGTTTAGAGCGTATTCGACTCTAACTCCCAACCTATGGGTCCGAACTATGTTCGGTCAGTTCTCACAAGTCCTATTTGTCATGGTGGAACTGTCTATGTGAGCCACACGGTGGTTCGGGAGCTGTTTTGATTTTTCGCCCCCGAAATGCCATTTTTCGCCTAAGTTTAGGGTGTATTCAGCTCTAACTCCCAACCTACGGGTCAGAATTATGTTCCATTAGTTCTCACAAGTCCTATTTGTGATGGGGGAACTGTTTGTGTGAGCAACACAGTGGTTCGGGGGCTGTTTTGATTTTTTGCCCCCGAAACGCCATTTTTCGACTAAGTTTAGGGCGTATTCGGTTCTAACACCCAACCTATGAGTCCAAATTACGTTCCGTCAGTTCTCACAAGTCCTATTTGTCATGGGAGAACTGTCCGTGTGAGCCTCACGGCGGTTCGGGGGCTGGTTTGAATTTTCGCCCCTGAAGCGCCCTTTTTCGACTAAGTTTAGGACGTATTTGGCTCTAACTCCCAACCTACAGGTCCGAATTACGTTCCGTCAGTTCTCACAAGTCTTATTTGTCGTGGGGGAACTGTTCATGTGAGCCTCACGGTGGTTTGGGAGCTGTTTTGATTTTTCGCCCTCGAAACGCCTTTTTTCTACTAAATTTAGGGCGTATTCGGCCCTAACTCCCAACCTACGGGTCCAAATTACGTTCCGTTAGTTCTTACAACTCCTATTTGTTATGGGAGAACTGTCCATATGAACAACACGGTGGTTCGGGGCCTATTTTGAATTTTCGCCCCTGAAACGCCATTTTTCAACTAAGTTTAGGCCGTATTCGGCTATAACTATGGTAAAGCCATAAACATTCCTAGTGGGCTGATTGAGTGGTTTTTCCTACTATTTTCATGTGCTTTTTCCTATCCTAATCATAATTTAATATGCATTAACATATTAATGCATATATTTAAAGTGTTTTTGAATAAAAGACTTGTAGGAAGAGTTAGATTAAAGATATAAAGAAGAATTTGGGAGGCAAGGACAAATTGTCACAAAACATTTTTTAGGATACACCACATCCACATATAATATATTAACATTGTTTTACCCCAAACATTGCAACTGTCAGTTTACAAAGACAAAATCCAACAACAGCAACACAGCCAACATTTTTTTAAACAACAACAAAAGAAAGATTTTATTAAGATGGAAAAGAGAAGAAAAATATACAAAAGGAGGACAAGCAACACACAGTCAACATTGCCAAGTAAAAAAATTAACGAGGATAGAGGATCTTACTTAACAGCCCCATAACCAACTGCCTCAGCTGTTTGATCAAGCTCCTCCTCTGTTCATTCAATAGCTTTACTTGATCAGGATTTGAAGAGATTATATCAAAACTTCAGTTTTAACTAATGTATCAAAAAGATGAGATGCTATGTCATGCATGAGTTCATAGATATAAGGAACATAAAAAGCGCTACCTTGCTATAGGAAAACAACTAGAGTGCAGATCATTCATTATTATACCTCGTTCTACAAGAGCTGCTTTACAGCGACTCTTTGCTTCTCTAACAAATCAACTAATCGAACCACTTCAGTACTGCGAGTTCGAAATCGTTTCCCATCTTCTCCAAGAACAAGACCAAAACCCACATGGTTAGTTTTAGGATACATATCCTCACCAGCTGGGAGCCAACCAGCACGTTTCGCAGCCTAATAGAAGGAGAGATAGAAAGGAAGGCCGTCAAACTCACAGTGGTATGTTACCCATCTCTCTAGAAAGCATGAAAAGTCATGAAGCACAGGACATGACATTTGATACTTACAATGAAAAACAATTCAAAGTGCTCTCGTTGGCCAACATCAGTTACATAGATTATCCATTCAGCTTTTTCTTCATTAAGACGATACCTAATTATTGAAAGCAGCTGGTTTAACTGAAATGCACTCATTCCGCTACCACTCCAACAAAAGGTACACAAGCAATGCATGTCCAACCACGACATTTAAGTTCAAATAGCAGTCACATATTACCCAGGTAAACTTTAAAAATGGGTCATAAAACTCCATCTAGCAGATCTCTTTTCAATCACATGAACCACGAGATGATTCTATCATATAATTTATATCTTTAAAGGAAGAAACATGGAGAGATGCATTATATAAATCATGCAGATCAGATGCTAGATTAAACATGGATAAGTGTAGATGCAAGAATGAATGACATATAGAAGGGTCATATAATTTACACTTTAATCAACTCCAAATTTTAAAACACTAACCAAAGAGCCGCAAGATCAGTGGAAGCATAGTTGAAACCACCATCCTTCTTCACAACAATTAAAGGTATATTTTTCCCCTCAATAAAGATCACACGAGCACCTTCACTTTCTTCAATTAATCCTTTCTTATCCAATTCCTCTAAAACTCAACGTATATATGGATTGTAAAAGCTTTCTCCCTGATGGGAAGGCAAAAAACAAAATAATTACAAGTGATTTTCCACTCAATCATAGGAACAGTTGATTTCATGTGTACAATATGTTCATTGCTCACATGAAATTCGTATATTTTTCCCCTCAATAAAGATCACACGAGCACCTTCACTTTCTTCAATTAATCCTTTCTTATCCAATTCCTCTAAAACTCCAGGTATATATGGATTGTAAAAGCTTTCTCCCTGATGGGAAGGCAAAAAACAAAATAATTACAAGTGATTTCCACTCAATCATAGGAACAGTTGATTTCATGTGTACAATATGTTCATTGCTCACATGAAATTCAAATAAGGGTAAACACCATCTGACACTCCCTGCAACTTCACTTCCAAATAGGGTTTTAAATAGGATGTGTAACAATAATCAAATTTAGGAATAAGCATAATGTAAGACTTATGAGAGAGAGAGAGAGAGAGAGAGAGAGAGAGTGAGTTGCTATATATCACAAAAAGTCTTCACCCCCTATGTGTTTCCCATGTGTCATGGTAAGTCCCACTATTTTTTAATATGGTGGATCCTACACATACACCATACATACACATTGCTTTTATTGCATGGAAAACATAGGAAGTGAAATAAAATGGTGAAAAAAGAATATGGTGATAAATAGCATTTCTCTATCATAAAACATTAAATATATAGATATATGCCATTATAGTGCACTGTTCTGCTGAACACTTGACCTGTATTAGATGTGAAGTAGAAGAATTTCTCAATGTCAACGACAATATCACTAGGGAAACACAAACTTTGACTTCATACTGATGAGACATTTTATGGTTAACATAACCACAAATCAGCATTAACCAACTTCGTCACTCTAGCCTGAACATGTTCTGATGCATTCCTCACTCCTTACACATCTACCATTCAAGAATGAGAATCCATTAACTATAAGTAAATAAATATATATATATATATATATATATGTATAACATTTTTCATAAAGTTTCAATTTTACAATCGTTCAAAATCCATTGTAAAAGAATCATCGTCTAAAACACCAAATGCCACCTCAAACCCATCACCTATCTATATCTTTACTTTTAATTTTCCTGATTGAAACTAGCATATAAAATACTAGTTCTATTGAATTGAGTAATTTGCTTGAGTCCAAAATAGAAAAGAATAAACGATGATAAATTACATGTATGGGCCTCATGACTAAAACCCTCATCAAAAAATAAATAATTTTAACAGAACTTACATAAAATTTCAAGATAAAAGATAGAAAACAAACACACATACAGAATGCATGTGCTCACACACACACACACACACATACACACTTACCTGTGTACCCTAGTCACCAACATGGTTTCTCCGAAGAACCTCAACATTTGAAAACTGACAAACACATAAACACACCCCGTGCATACAAGCAGAAATAAACAAGTAATACATGTAAAAGAACTCAAATCTCTACACATACGAACAAACAAAAACTCCAAAAAAAAAAAAAAAAAACCTTAGTTATTGTACAAAATGCTTTCTGAACCTCACAAAAGAAAGCAGTTTACACTTTGCTACATCTATCAACGTGTCATAACTGAAATCCAAATTTCTACATTTCAAAATCCCTCAGATAATGGCACAAGGAAACCTTCCAAAGCATCTGACTAACAAAATCCTAAATAGTCAACAGTTTAAAGCATGTCACACTTCCTCTTATCTGTTTTTCCCATTTCCAATTACAGTCATCAATCATCTTTCATTCCCTACCTTACCAAACATATGCATAGATAAAGGTTGAAAACACAGTAAAAGTTCAATGGAATTTTAGAAACTTATAGATGGAATTTTAGAGACAAGGTAAGAAAATAGGTCAATCCAGGATCACCGTCAAGTCTTTGCTTTGATGCCTTATAGAATGCCTAATAACAGCATTCAAGTTAAACCAATAATACCCACTTTCACTGAATTTCATGATTCATTTCAATGAAAAAAAATTGAATCAAGGGCATAAGTTGCTCAAAGCAGCACAAGCAACTAGTTACTTGAATTATTTGCTAATCTAAGCAAGGGACTTTGTTGCTTGGATGTAGCATAAAAAATATTCAAGTGACATGAAGAAGTATTATGTCTGTACCAATTCAGGAAATGGACCTAATTTCCAAAATTTTTATCTCACCTCGAGATCTCCGATAGCTTGATCATTGACAACCTCCACGTTCGGAAATTTTTCGAAAAGAAATTCGATTAGCATACCAAACTGCAAAACATAAATAATATCTTTAAGACATAATAGGAAAGTAACAAAAAAATTATCGAAATAGACTTTCATAATTCAGACAGCAAAGAGGCCATAATATTATCACCTTCTAGAGCAGCAATAATCAACAAAAAATTTGAAAGAGCATAATTTTTCCACTTAATACAATTATACAAGAAGGGTCTGTTGGAGTTCCTTCTTCCACCACATATTAGGGAAGGAAAAGGCACCGAAGAACTTCAAACTACTGTTTCACCCAAGAAATTATTTTGATCCAAATGAAAAAGTTGACTCATAAAATAGGACAACCCATGACTGAAACCCTCATCAAAAAATAAATAATTTTAACAGAACTTATATAAAATTTCAAGATAAAAGAGAGAAAACAAACACACATACAGAATGCATGTGCTCACACACAAACACACGCACACGCACACGCACACTTACCTCTGTACCCCAGTCACCAACATGGTTTCTCCGAAGAACCTCAACATTTGAAAACTGACAAACACATAAACACACCCCGTGCATACAAGCAGAAATAAACAAGTAATACATGTAAAAGAACTCAAATCTCTACACATACGAACAAACAAAAACTCCAAAAAAAAAAAAAAAAAAAACCTTTAGTTTTTTTACAAAATGCTTTTTGAACCTCAAAAAAAAAAACAACCCTCCTATAATTGCGGAGAACATTTTTTCAACAATTGCTTATATTTTTTATCAAAATGTAAAACTCTCAACCTAAATATTAAACCTTCCAAAGCATCTGACTAACAGAATCCTAAATAGTCAACAGTTTAAAGCATGTCACACTTCCTCTTATCTGTTTTTCCCATTTCCAATTACAGTCATCAATCATCTTTCATTCCCTACCTTACCAAACATATACATAGATAAAGGTTGAAAACACAGTAAAAGTTCAATGGAATTTTAGAAACTTATAGATGGAATTTTAGAGACAAGGTAAGAAAATAGGTCAGAGATAAGGTGTCAAAGAAAGAGACTTGTAGATGGCATTGTTTATAAGTCACAAAGAACCATCCAAAGTTAGAATTGTAAAATCAAATTTCAAAACTCACGCAACAATTAATGCAAGCAACAACTCAATAAGGATTAGAAAGAAACACTTGGATCAGCACACAGGAAAATTATAAATCCTGAGAAGCTTTATATATAAATGACCCAATATCTAAACTAAAGTAAGTGGAAACCAGTCCTCAAAACCTCTCTATGACATTTTTACATACACTTGGTGAGCATACTCCTTCAAGATGATTTGATTCTTGAAAATACTCATAGCAGCAGATTTGATTCTTTTCAAGATGTAGAGAATATGAATGAGGCAGTTGAGACCACCCTAGGTCTAGCAAAGTGCAACACTGAGTGGTACTATGACACCATCAACAATTTAATGAAGAACTTCCTTTTACAAAGATGAAACATACCATATTCAATATCTTAAATTTCAATACATCTACCTAGTACCTGTTTATTCAATTGGCAGCTAACCATGACAGCTAAAATTCAATAAACTCGTCACTAATTGGTACTATAACAACCATAAATTCAATTTTGGTGTCCCAATTTCAACTCTACATAAATAAGAACTGAGTGTTGCATCCAAAAAAAGATCAAAGCAGAAGAGGACTTACTGAAGAGAAGCTTGTCCAAGCTCTCATTAGCTACGTACTCATACACAAGCAGCTTCTCCGCACCGTGCGCACAATACCCCAACAAATTGACAACATTGCGGTGCTACATGCAAGCCAACAGCTTGGCCTCGTTCTTGAACTCATTTTTCCCCTGATTCGAGCTCTGCGACAGCTTCTTCACCGCAATTTCTCTTCTATCATTCAACCTTCCCTACATCTCCAAAACCCTAACAATCACATACAAATCCACACACACACACACGTGTATATATATATATATATACATACATCGGTCTCGTTGTTGATGGATAGACAGATATACGAATATAGAGAAATTTTAGAGAGAGAAAATAGGGCAAATCTAGGTGAATCGGTGGTCCGGTTGCCCGCGACCACGAGGAGGAGCGGCGGTCAGAGAGGGAGGGGAGAGGAGCAACGAAGAGGGAGAGGCAAGAGGGAGAGAGAGAGAGACAGGTGCTGGTTTGTGGTTTGGAAACCAAGTAAGGCCCCGTTTGGCAAGTGATTTTTTTATCTAAAAAGTCATTAAAAAAACCAAAAAGCCAACAACTCATACCAAAAAATCAAAGATTCCCTTTTCTCTCTACTTTTTACACATCTTTTCGTAAGAAACTAAAAAGTCATCCCAAACATACTAGTTTTTTTTACATCATATTTTAGTCAAAAAGCCAAAAAGTTACTAAAAAAACTTGTTCCCAAACGAGGCCTAAATATATATATTACCCCATTAGACTAAAATTTAGGCCTCGTTTGGGAACAGGCTAATTTAGTAACTTTTTGGCTATTTGGCTAAAAAGGTAGGTAAAAAAAACTTGTATGTTTGGAATGACTTTTTGGCTAATTACGAAAAGATGTGCAAAAAGTAGAGAGAAAAGAGAATCTTTGACTTTTTGGTATGGATTGTTGGCTTTTTGGCTAATTTAGTAACTTTTTGGCTAATTGGCTAAATAGCCTCTTGCCAAACGAGGCCTTAGTCGCCAATTAATTTATAAAACCCTCTAATATTTGAAAAATCCCTTCAAACAATTTATTTTTTGGCGACTAAAATTTATTTTTGTCGTTGAAAGTAAGTTTTTGGCGACCAAATTTTTAGTTGCCAAAGGTAAAAAAATATTTTTTTATTTCTATTCAGCCACTAAATGATTTTATTAGCCAAAAATCAATATACAGCAACTAAAATGATTTTTTGTCGCTGAAAGTAAGTTTTTGGCGACTAAAACTTTAGTCACCAAAGAGAAAAAATAATTTTTTTATTTTTCATTCAGTGACTAAATATTTTAGTAGCCAAAATCAATATACGACGACTAAATTTTTTTTTGTCGCTGAAAGTAAGTTTTTGGCAACTAAAACTTTAGTCGCCAAAGAGAAAAAATAATTTTTTTATTTTTCATTCGGCGACTATAGTAGCCAAAAGTCAATATACAGCGACTAATTTTTTTTTTGTCTCCAATTCTTGCATTTTTAGCAATTTAGTCGCCAATAAGGAATATACCCCGACTAAAAAAAATTAATAGCTAAATATTTTACTTTTGGTGACTAAAAAAAATATTAATCGCCAATTTTGATCGCCAAATGTGCATTTTGTTGTAGTGGAATCAACACATAATTTTTGACGAAACTTGTTTTAAAATTAAAGAGCAAAACAGAATTAAATGGTATGAAAATTAGGGAACTTGGGTAAAAACTTATATATATTATAATTGTTTTGTAATCGATTTCTAACCAATTCTACTGTAGCACAAATTGCTTTGGACAAGTTATATATTCCGGGTTCAACTCCCGGCAGTGGAAAACTAATAAATTTATTTTTTATTTTTATTTTTATTTTTATTTTTTGTCTTGATGATTCAAGGCCCAGCAATATTACAAGAATTCTGTAAAGAAATTCGCTATGAACCACATAAAATATAACATGAGAGCAAAATACTCAAAACCTCAACCCAGAGAGTTTCATACAATTCTCATTTTTGTCCTGGAGAATTTTCCCTCTCACATGTATCTCTACAAATTACTCAATTTCCCAACTTTAGAATTCTCTTTAAATTCTCTATTTATGCTCAAATTTAAGAAATCTCAATCTCGTACAATTATTAAGAGTTATAAAAGAATCGAATAACTCAAGTTCGATTCATGTTTGGTTCGTTAAAAATTCGTTCAAGCCTAGTTTGATAAATAAATAAGTTAATTTTAAACATATTTTAGAACTCGTTAAAATTTTTAAACTAAATTTGAACAGTTAATTGCTTGTTCAGCTTTGTCCGAGCAATTCATGGCACAAGAACACATTTTTTTGGCAATTCATATCACAAGCCAGCTAGTTCACATGGTATAATCATAAGGGAAAAAACATATTGAGTGCAACAGTGATATCATGTGACATTATTGTTGTGCTTACTTTATTGTTGTGCTTACTTTTTGAGATATTTTGCAAGCATTTAGAAGTTCAACTTTAAATATGAGCCATTGAATTACGACAACATGATAATTGTAGAAAAAATCTTTATAGAAGATTATGAGTTGTAAACCAGTAATAACTACATTTTGAAGTGTTCGGAAAGGCACTTAGAACTGTGAAATGCAGAGAGTTTAGAAGTAAATTGTCAATTTTTTTTTGGGGATCTAAATGAAATTCTATTAAATAAAGTCAAAGGACACTTAGTCCGAATAAATTAAAGCTTACACCAAACAAAGTAAGAATATAGCAAGAATCACAAAAGAAAGAAACTATGAAAATATTCAGACGCACATCTTGTACTCGTGTTCGTACTGCGAAACAAAGTTGATCATAAAAATTCAATAATAGAACATGTCTAAGATAAATCATAGATCCCAATTACAAAGAGAATAAGTTTAACAATCACACCCCAGATGCACACATACCAAAACAGCAAAACAAGACACAAAAGAGAATCAGAAAACAAAAACACAAACCCACCGACCAAACAACGTCCAGCGGCAAATTTATGTTTGACAAAGAGTTTCTAGCCTTCTTTTCTTTACTTGACTTTCCAATGCAGTGCAAAATATTACACGGTTAGGTACCTAATTTTATTAATAATTATATAATATTTATTTAATTAATATTTGGAATTAGTTAGTGGTAGAGTCATGAATAGAGTGAGTTCCTATGTTTTAAGCGGGGTGGGTCTTGGGATTTATAAGGTTCAAGGCCAAATATGCAAAATGGAATCCTTTTTTATATATATTTTTTTAATAAAAAAATTATGCAAGAAACGAAGTATTAACAAATTTTTTATTTAAATTTATTTGAACATATAATCATTAAAATTATACATTAAAATTTACTTTCATACATTAAGATAGGAAGAAATCATTATAATGACTCAAAAACATTAAAAATTGATTTTGTTACTTTATAGTTCCAACAATACTACAAACTCATCCTTATCAATTCAAAATTTATCCAGAAAAATAAATAAATGGCTCAGATTCATTTTATATGTGGACCCCATATTACATCAATTCAATCTCCACCACACAAACACATTCGGGGTAAATTCTGAGTCCGTAAGAGTGGATTCCTAGCATTTTTCTTATGTTTCAGCAATAATCCAGTTTACAATTAAACCAACTATCACTTAAATATTACTCTTTTCACATTTTTAGTTGCAAAATTACTAATTAAGTTTGTATAATCTAATTTATCTATCAAATCCGTTTTAATAGACAATATAGCTAATCCATTCAATCTTTCTTATGACATTGTTGATCGAAAGTAGGATTTGATCAATTTCAACTCTGTAAAACTTATTTCTCCTGAGGAAACGGTAATTGGAATATCAAGTGCTCCCGGTTGAGATTGAATTAATTATTTTACTTTCAGCTTCTTCTTTCTCTTTTAATTTCCAAAACTATACGTCCTAGGAAACATGACTATAATTACAATTCAATCCACAAATCACAATCCACTGACTATTTCTTCTGTGATAGCAAAGAAATTATGGAACACAATTTAATGAAACAAAATTAGAGCAAAATAATTCAATTAAAATTTGATAAAGACCTAAGTAAAAAAATTAGGAAAATTTTATTTACTTCATTAAAATATGATAAAGAAATAAGGTAAAAAAAAAAATAAGGCAAATTTATCTATTCTATTAAAATCTGATAGCTTGAGAAAGAGAGAGATGACTTATTGTGAGAGAGGTTGTGAGAGTGAGTAAGTCGCCAAGTCGCGGTTGATCGTCACCAATTTCTAGGTGACAACACTGCTCCAACTCAGTGCTCTAGTGTGCTTCGTTCGTGAGAGAGAGATGAGAGCTCACAGAAATTGTGTGATAGTGTAGTGTTTTGATTTAAGGGCCAAACCAACACTTGTTTGTATAGGGTGTAAAAGTGGCCCGCAACCCGTGGGCGGCCCGAAACCCGCTCGCGACCAGAGATTGGGCCTAGGCCTGAGCCCAGCCCGAGCCCCTGGGCTAGGGCCTGGGCCATTGTTTTGAAGCCCAGCCCAGCCCATGGCCCAGCCCATCGACCCGTTTAAGGCCCACTTAGGGCCCAGCCCGAAGCCTAGCCCACCCAGCCCGCCAAGGCCCAATGCATTTTTTAATGAAAAATAATAAAATTTTGGTTAAAAAAATTAAATAAACAAAAAAAATGGTTAGGCCAGCCCAAGCCCGAGGCTAGGCCCAAGGCTCGAATACCCCTGGCTGGGCCTGGGCTTGGGCTTAATTTTTTGGCCCATGGGCTGGCCCCGCCTGGCTCGAATTTTGGCAGGAGCCCGCGAGGCCCGACATGGACCGGGCTGGGCCAGATTTATAACTATATTTGTATGTTTTAATTTTTATTGGGTCAAATTACACTTATGAATAATTTGTTTTTTTCATATGGGCCCAACAAAATATTTTGGATCCTTTTGGCCCTAAAGTAATAAAAATAATTTGAGCCTATTTGAATTTTTAATATACTATAAGACACTACTAAATTTAGAAACCTTATTTTAAATCAACTTTTTAGGATTAAAGGCACAAGTCTCAATGATCTTAGCCCAAGACTGGTTCTGATTTTAAGGTTGTTGGTTTAGTTACACGTTCATTGTATATAGACAACCTTCGTTAATTAATAAAGTAGGTTGAGTATATTGAACATGTTAACTTCTATAAATTTATGGAAGTGTGGTTCTCCTCAATGTAAATCAGTTGAAGGTCTTTTCCTCTCGAAGTGGGGCTTTTCTATATCTTTTTCATATTTTTATTCTAAAAAGTGTTCATATCAATTGATATCAAAGCTGGTGATTCTCGGCAATGGTTTTACCGCAAGATCTATTCGCTTCCATATGCAAAGATTTACAAGAGATTAAATTACTCGTCTTCAAAATGGTTGAGTACAACAAGCTATTTTCGAAAGTTCTAGATGAGTCAAAATGTTGATCAAAACATTGAGGTACAAAAAAAGCAAAGAAGATGGATGAAAATAACATCAAAGACACATTTTCAAAAAGTTGATTTCTTGATGGTGGAGAAAACAACAGTTAGTGTTGTTATTTCAATGTGGAGAGAGAATATTTTCACTGCCAGCGGTGCTACATGCACCAATTAGTATACTAACTAGTGTACCAACACTAGTTATGAGATTATTATTGACCCCACTCATTAATCACATTACAAATTTCAAAAATCTTTTAAATTATGTCACATCATCAATTGGCACACTAATTAGTATATTGAGATGGAGATTTGCGCCGAACGACTAGCCGATCTATACCAACATTTGGCATGGTGTTAGGCCTCGAAGGGAGAGCCTGAGGAGCTGAGACCAAATTGGATCCATGCCAAGTGCAGCAGAACGTTAAGATTGACTGAGATACACTTGGCCAAGCTAAGGCAGAACACGTTGAAAAACCGAGCTTGGCCCACACAGATTATGGTGTTTGGCCGGGCTTAGACGAACGGGCCTATAGACCGGATTAAGGTTTATTTGACCGAGTTATAAGTGGCTCGGACCGCGAATGTAGAAATAGACGACCCTTGACGGTACGGTGGGAGGCCGAGATGTCGAGTGCCGTGCCCTGCAGCTTGTCGGCTTCGATGGCTCGGTTTGATTTAGCTCGGCTATGGATGTCCATTGTGATGTCTGTCTCAAGTGATAGCTCAGTTGTGTAAGCTACCTGGACCAAGGGTAAGAAAGGGGAAATCTACTCCTGGTATGCGTCAATATTGTTTGGTGGTTCGACAAACACTGTTTAGAGGTTTTGGTCTCTACGCGTATAAGAAAGGTATAGAGGAGCACAGCCGCCTACCCAAAGAAAAACAGCAGAGGTAGTGCGTCCACAATCTCTGAGGCTGTATGGCCAGCCTAGAAAAGGGTGGAACATAGAGATGTTAGGGGTAAGCAATCTAAAAGAATTTCCTACTCTCTCCGTAGTGCTCTTGATTCTCTTCTCCCAAGTGTGCTGACTTGATTGTCGAAGGGTTTATCCAGCAGCACACCGTCGGGCAGCTCATCGTCTTTCTATTGTCAAGTTAAGCGACGCTACGTGAAGCTTGGATCCAAGGAGTACGAAAAACGGAGAATATTTCACCCCCGTACAATTGGTGCCGTCTGTGAGAATACTTTGGTAGACAAACCTTGCTCTCCAAGCTTTTTCAACCATTTCCATGGCCAATAATGACGAAACACCGCTGTCCGCTGTCGACGACATCACACCAAAGTCTATTCGAAGGAGAGATGACCCTCTTGCTATTCCGACCATGGCGGGCCTGGAGACCTCTTCCTGAGGCGCGTAAGACAAACGCGCGAGGAGCGCTAAACATTCAAAGAGTCCTGAGGGTCGCCGTCGGCGAGAGGAGTCGCATGCTCAGCGCCTGGAGCACAAACTCAAAGACTAGGACACCCGCATTCAAAAAATGGCGGCTGAAATGGAGATGTTGAAATGCCAAATCAAAAAGAAAGGTGTTGCTAGAGTGGGCGACCATAGTGAGCGCACCCTACCACATCGCTTTGACAGTCGTCACCAACATGGGACACCCTCTCTCTCTATCACCAGAAACTACGGAGTTGTCGACTTCGACCCACCGGTGGAGAGATCTTACACGCGCGACAACAGTTACCATCCTTCGCTTAGTCGACGACGTCGAGATACTCTTACTCTGCCCGTTCGGTGGCCCTGAGGGATGTGTTGGAAGAGCGAGCCCACCATAGAGAGGCCCATAGATTGCCGATGCTGTAAAGGCTGAGTCCCCAAATTCGTTGCAGTGAGGAAGTGGCCATGCCAGCACCTAGAATGGTGACTCCAACACTGATGGACAGAGAGCTAGCAAGACTTACCGCTACCCCACTGTCCCCAGAGATCGAGAGCACAGCACTCCCTGCCGGATTCCACCAACCTAAATTCACGCGGTATGACGGCAAGACGGATCCGTACATGCACGTTAGTCATTACCGACAAGTAATGGCTGGTTATCGGCACAACGACGCCTTGATGTGTCTCATATTCCCAGTAAGTTTGGGAGAGCTAGGCCTGAAGTGGTTTGAAAGGCTCCCAGAGCGGAGCATCGTGGGGTGGCAACAACTAGCGGAGGCCTTTGTCACCAGGTTCAAGACCAATACTCGAACACCGAAGGAGGTCGACCACTTCTTGAGCGTTAAGATGGAGTCAGGTGGTTCTTTGAAGGCATACAATGGCAAGTATTGGGAAACCTACAATGAGATCCTCGATTATCCCACCAACCTGGCAATTGCCCAATACAAGCGAGGTCTACCAGTTGGGCATAGGCTACGAGACTTGCTCATGATGCATCAGCCTACAACCATGGAGTCCTTATTGCAGCTGATCAATGAGCATATCTGAGTAGAGGATGATGCCGCCACCGCCTCCACAACTGAGAAGGCAAATCCGGTTAGGGTGGACAGAAGGGTGGTTGGGAAGGTTCACTCGGTGGGACAGAAGGACAACCGTCCCAACAACCAAGCTAGAGACCAACATCGCTGTTCAAACCGCAATGATAGAAACAAAAATCATGGAAATGACCGAGCTAACACTCCCCACAGCGAAGAGGAAGATGCAAAGAGGAAGTTGAAGGCACAAACCGGCATCACCATTGTCTTTAAGATCCCAATTTATCTCATCCTAAGTGAAATCCGAGGCGAACCATACATGCGTTGGCCAACCAAATTGGGAGACACACAGAGAGGCTTCAACTCGAGGTACCGCTACACCTTCTACAAAGAAAATGGGCACTGAACAGAGGACTACGTACTGCTCAAACAACACTTGGAGGAGCTGGTTGCGGCTGGATATCTGGACTAGTACATAGACAGGGGTATGAAGGCCGCTCCACATGGGCAGGCCGAGCCAAATGGCCTTGCCGTTCTGGATGCAACGCCCCAAGGCGTAATCAATGTTATTCACAGCATCATCGAACCAGCACGGGTTTGCGAGCTGATGGGGATGATCAAGAAGGCTGAGCACATGAGGGAAGTGCTCTCTATTCGGCCCGCCGTGAAGAAAGGGAAGACCGAGATAAAAGACGTCTTTATTTTTTCAAGCAAGGACTTGGAAAGAATTCAATCGCCTCATAATGACGCCTTAGTTGTGACTCTTCGCATCAAAGACTTCGACATCAAAAGAATACTGATCGACTAGGGGAGTTCGGTCGAGATCATGTACTACGATACGTTCAAACAAATGAAGTTGGAGGACAAAGACCTGGCTCCAGCAACGTCCTCTCTAGTCGGCTTCAACTCTTAACCAGAATGGCTGATCGGAAAAATCATACTGCCGATCAAGGCTGGGTCAGTCACGAAGCAAGTGTAATTTTGGGTGCTGAAGATGCCATCGACCTACAACTTGATCTTGGGGAGAGGTTGGTTGCACGCCATGCAAGCAGTAGCATCGACTTATCACCAGGTCATGCGCTTTCCTGCACTAGTCGGGCAAGTCGACGAGGTTTGGGAAGACCAAGTAATGGTAAAGCAATGCTTTGTCATAGTGAATAGTAGTGAAGCTGCTAAAGGCTTTATCCAAATGATAAAAAGGCCAGAAGGAAAGGAAGTCCTGGAAGATGTGGGAAGAAAAGCCGAAGAGAAATCAGTTGAAGATTTGGTGGAAGTGTGCGTCGATGAGAATGATCCAAATAAGTTCTTTTTTTTTTTGGATCATCTTTGTCAAGTGTCGAGCGGCTCGATTATGTAAATTTTTTGGTTTCCAACATTGAGGCCTTTGTGTGGACGCCTTACGATATGCCTGGCGTCAACCCTAGCTTCATTTGCCACCAGTCCTAATGCACAACTGGTCATTCAGAGAACGCGACGCTCGACCTTGCACCATGCCAAGGTTGTGGCAAAGGAGGTCAAAAACTTGCTGGAAGTTGGGGCAATCAAAGAAGTGCAATACCCCAGATGGCTCTCTAACACGGTGGTAGTGCCGAAGAAAAATGAAAAATGGTGGGTGTACATCGATTACAAGACAATCAACTGTGTATGCCCAAAGGATAACTTTCCACTCCCGAGGATTGACCAGCTGGTGGACCTTACTGCTGGCCACCAAAGGTTTAGTTTCCTAGATGCATACCGCAGCTACCACCAAATAGCCATGTACGAGCCAAACAGACAGATCACTTCATTCACCACACCAAGGGGCTTGTATTGCTATAAGATCATGCCATTCGGTCTCAAAAATGCCAGGGTAACTTTTCAAAGCATGGTGACCAAAATGTTTGCCCTTCTATTAGGCCGCACTATGGAGGCTTATATTGACGACATGGTGGTGAAAAGCAAAGACAAGTCTCAGCATCTCACTGACCTAGCTGAAATGTTTGCCATCCTCAAATACCACAAGTTGCGATTAAATGCATCCAAGTGCGCCTTCGGGGTGGGAACTGGAAAATTTTTGCATTTTTTAGTTACCAACCGAGGAATTGAGGCCGATCCCTCACAGATCAGGGCAATTCAAGAACTAGAACGACCAAATTCCACAAATGATGTGCAACATCTCGCCGGAATGGCGGCCACACTAAACAGATTTATCAGCCGGTCATCAGATTGTTACAGGCCCTTTTTCAAGACTTTGAAAGCCAAGTTTTTCTGGGATGAAAAGTGCGACCGCGTGTTAGCGGGTCTAAAGGCTTATCTCTCCTCGGCCCCAATCCTGGTCATACCACAGTTAGGCGAAGAGCTATATCTCTACTTGGCTGTTTTTTAGCATGCGGTTAGCGCGATCCTCGTCCATCTTGAGGGAATCCAGCACCTTACGTCAGCAAGACACTGCTCTCGGCCGAATCGAGATAGCTGTCACTTGAAAAATTGGCACTAGCTCTCATGATGGCCTCCAGGAAGTTGGTGCACTGTTTCCATGCCCATACAATAGTAGTGTTGACCGAATTCCTGCTTAAGGTGCTCTTTGAGAAGGCGGACTTCACCGGAAGGATTCTGAAGTGGGTCATAAAGCTGGGACAATACGACATCTAGTTCCAGCCACGCACACCTATCAAAGGTCTGGCCCTTGTCGAATTTGTGCAGAATTTGCCCTTGGCACACACCCTATTTACCCTGTTGATTTGGCTAGCACGGACTTGGCGCAAGCCACGGCTTCGATAGCAGAAAAAAGTTGTGAGAAACAATTAATAGAACAATAAGAAGATAGTGGGCTAGCAATAGGAGAGTAGGCCAGCTTATCAACCAACCTAACAATTAGACTAGCGAAACAAGAGAAGGCCGACTTGCCGACCAGTGCCTTGGATTTGAAAAACTCCCAGAATCCCTCCGACTGCTAGAATTGTTCATTGGCGAGATATGGAAGCTCTTCTTTGATGGGGCCTCCAACAAACATGGCGCCGAGTTGGGGGTCGTGTTGACATCGCCAGATGGGCTATCCATTGAACATGCTATCGCGCTTGGTTTCTCGGGCATCCAACAATGAGGCGGAGTATGAAGCCCTCCTTGCCGGACTAAAGAGTGCTTTAAGAATGAAGGCGTCAAAGCTTATGGTATTCAACGACTCCAAGCTGGTAGTCAATCAAGTTTCTGGAGAGTATAAGGCCAAGAATGAAAGGATGGCCAAGTGTCAAGCGTTGGTTCATGAAAAAGTCAAAAAGTTTTCCGCGATAAGAATGGAGCAAATTAACTGCAAAGAAAAGAGAAAAGCCGACGAATTGGCTAGCCTAGTATCTATGCAGATGACTTTTTCTAATCCATTGATGATAGAATTCTTGCCCCGACCGAGCATTGAGGAACCGAAGCCGCCTGAAGTACTCTGCACGGACTTGGGACCGTCCTAGATGGATCCAATCATCGCCTTCCTGAAAGATCAAATTCTGCCCACTGAAAAAAAGGAAGCCAACAAGATAAGGGCCAAGTCTGAGTGATTTTGGCTCTCTCCATCTAGTGCCTTATACAAGAAGTCCTTTACCAGGCCCTACCTTAAGTGTGTCCACCCCAGCAAAGTTAAAGCTTTCCTTTTCGAGATTTATGAGGGCATCTGTGGAAGTTATATTGGGGGCAGATCTTTGGCATACTGAGTTATCTCCCAAGGTTATTGGTGGTCATGCATGCAGGCCGACCTGCAGAATATGTTCGCAAATGTGAAAAATGTCAAAAATTCGTTCACCAAATCCACCAGCCGGCCAGAGAGTTGCTTCCCCTTACAAGTCCTTGGCCATTTGCGCTTTGGGGTCTAGACATTGTAGGACCGTTTCCAACCGCTCCGGGCAACTGCAAATTTTCCATCGCTGCTACGAACTACTTCACTAAGTGGGTGGAGGCTGCGCCATTGGCCACCATCAAGGAAGAAAATGTAAAGCGGTTTGTTTGGCAGAATGTCATCACTCGCTTCGACATCCCAAAGACCCTCATTGCGAATAATGGCACACAGTTCGACAGGAAACTCTTTCGCGTATTTTGCGAGGAGTTAAAGATTAAGTTTTACAACTCTACACCGTCCTACCCTTAATCAAACGGTCAAGCCAAAGGCTCAAACAAAACCATCTTGGACGAGCTGAAGAAGCGACTGGAGAAGGCCAAAAGGAGCTGGGCTGAGGAACTCCCCAATGTGCTCTGGGCATACCGCACTACACTAAGACGCTCAATTGGGGAAACTCCATTTGCCTTGGCTTACGGCATGGAGGCAGTCATACCATTGGAAATCGACATACCAACCATCTGATCTGAAAGTTTTGAACCAGACTTAAACAGTGAAGCTGTAGCCCTAGAACTGGACCTAGCTGAGGAAAAAAGGAAACGGGCACTAATTCACATAGCCGCCTAACAACAAGAGCTCTCCAAGAAATACAACAAGACCATGCATCCTAGGCTATTCAAGGTCGGAGACTAGGTCTTGAGGAAAGTAATGGGCAACACAGTGATCCCTGGAGAGGGCAAATTAGGAGCAAACTGGGAAAGACCGTACAAGATAACCAGCCTTGCTGGCAAAGGGGCATACCACCTGGAAGACTTGGATGGTAAAGTTATCCCCATACCATGGAATGCGGCCAATCTTAAGTTGTTTTACTTTTGACATGTAACCGTTCTTCCTTTGTATCCAAGTTTAGCCTGTTGGCATTATAAGTAATGTTTAAAATGCAATGAAAAGAACCTTTGACTTATCTCTATCTATGTATCATTTTTTCCATACATTAGCATTGTATCTGAGCTGCTCGGTACTAAGGGCATCTCACCTAACTTAGCTCTACCCCAGCTGAACTAATTTATGTTCGCTGTGACAGAAATCTGGTGATATTCCCAGTTCTCCATGTGAACCGAGCTGATTTTTCTGGCACAATCCATCGTTCAAACAGTTTGTGTTTTCCCCAATTATGATTGCTCATTCTGAGCTGACTTTGCTCACTCGTTCAAGCAGTTGTTGTTTCCCCCAACTGAGATATCTTGTTTTGAGATGATTTTTGCTCGCCGATGGGGGAGCTGATTTTGCTCACCTGAGGAAAAAGTTGGTGTTTTACGCAACTTGTATTGAAACCGAGCTGACCTTGTTGTGCTCAACAAACATTTAAACCAATCTGAGTTTGATCATTAAAAATGTTTCAATTCTCCGAGCTGATTTTGCTCGTTACCCGAGCTGATTTCGCTCGCCTCAAATTGAGTTTGTGATTTGTCCAACTCATGGATTATTTTTTTTTGCCCTCGAACCGAGCTGATTTCGCTCATTAAAAATATTTGACTCCCCGAGTTGATTTACTCGAGCTGATTTTGCTCGCCTTAAATTGAGTTTGCAGTTTATCCAACTCATCG